TTTGTTTGAGAGAGGGTTATTAGCGCTGGGGACTGAAACTAGGAAGGGGTCGGGATGGAGGCAACAGGCGAGAGCCCCGGCGGGGAGGCTCTGGCTCGCCGGGAAGTCCGAGAGGACGGGGCCTTGGCGACAGGCTCCGGGCGTTGGCCGCGGACCAGCTGCCGCTGCCCGCTGCTCCCCTGGCCGCGAGTCTCCGGGGAGCCGCAGGGTTTAGGACATACACGCCCGAGAGGGAAGAAAGGCCGGGGAGGAAAGCCCTGGGCGCCTCCTGGGAGGGAGAGCCCTCCCCCTACTCGTTTTGATTGGTGTGGGTGGTGGTTCGTTCCTTTTTTTAAAAAATTTAGATTTTTAAAAATTATTGTAAAATACACCACCTTCACCAATTTTAAACGTACAATTCAGTAGTATGACGTACATTCACAGTGTCGTGCAACCGTCACCACCACCCAGCTCCAGAACTCAGCTTGCAAAACTGACACTGTGCGGCGGTGAAACATTAGGCCCCTCCTCTGCCCTCCTCCCAGCCCTGGCAGCCACTCTTCTACTCTCTGAGTCTGACTCCTTCAGGAGCCTCATACAAGTGGAGTCATGCAAATTGTATTTGTCTTTTTGTGACTGGCTTATTTCACTTAGCATAATGGTCTCTGTGTTCGCCCAGGCACATCACAGTTTCCTTTCTTTTTAAGGCTGAAAATATTTCATCACATATATGTACCAATACCACATTTTGTTGATCTCTTTGTCCATCTGTGGACACTTGGATTGCTTTCGCCTTCTGGCTATTGTGAATAGAGCTGCTGTGAAACACAAGTCTGCAAAAATCTGTTGAGTCCCTGCTTTTGATTCTTTTGGGTGTATACTCAGAATTGCTGAGTTATACGGTAATTCTGTTTTAAAAGTATTGAGGAATGACCATAATGTTCTCAACAGTGGATGCACCATTTTACATCTTCACCAACTGAATAAGGGGACCAGTTTCTCCACATCCTTGATTATTTTGTTCTTCTCTACACTTGCTATGTTCTGTGTTTTTTGTGTGTGTGTTTTTAATGGGTGTGAGATGGAGTTATTGTCTGCTTGCCTATTTTTTCTATTTTAATTCAGTTAATAACTTGAGGATAAATTTAATCAGAACAGCATTGACTTATGTGGTTCGTTATAATGGTTTATGAATTTACCTTGTCAAGCTTATATGTCAAACTTTGTTCTTTTTCATTTATTCAGTGAATATTTTTGGAGAGCCTTCTTTACTTCAGGAACAGTTTAGTGGGAAAACAGCATTGTCTGCTTCTAGGCCTGCTCTTCCTCCTGTGTAAGTAAAGAGCACATTCATACACCCGTTTGCCCAAAATGGAATCCTGAAAGTGGGCCTTTATTTTCCTGTTAAGTCTTTACACTTAATCAGTTACCAAAGCAACCTATCTCTTTTGTATCTTTAGGAAAGATTTCCTTTCTTGCATTTTCACTGCGGGGGCCATCATTCTTTTTCACCCAGAAACAGCAAGTCCTCCAACGGGTCTTCTCCCTACTTCAAGTTGTCTGCTTCTCTAATAGCTCTTCCTCAAGGATACCATCACCCCGTGTTGCCCTTGTGATGGCAGGTAATTATTTTTCTATGCCCCACCCCATTAGGACTGAGAACCGGACTGGTCATAGTAATTCCACAATGACTGACAATTACTCCTACTTGCTGCATAAAACCTCATTCATGTTTGCTACAGTCTCATTGGCCAAAGCAATCACCTGGCCAGCCCACATTCAAGGGCTGGACAAATAGGTTCCACTTTTTTATGGAGGGGAAAGAATGTGTGTCCATTTTTGCAATCTACCATAGAGAGGGAGGTACTGATGCTTAAAGGTAAATGAGAGGTGTTAGGAGTTTGACTAAAATGAGAAATTATACTTTTGTGGTGGCACATCTCCATGATTTTACAGTTTTACATAGCATGGTTCAGCTTGTTAGGGGTCAGCTGTAGTACTAGAGGTGGAAGAGAGTGAGGCTTTGGGCATCAGTAATGCCTAGCTGAAGAAGGTGGAAGTAAACCTAGGGAGATGGTACTTGGTGGATAGAGTGACACCTGAGGTGGCAGTGGTGCTTGACAGAAACAGAATCATCCTGTAGAAGGCACCCAATAGAGATCTACTTTTAGTGGGACTGTGATGCATATTTTAGGACATCCATAAATATGAGTGTGAATTTTGCTGGAAGACAAGGGTCTTGGAAAAGCAAGTGGGGGCAAACCAGTGATAAACTAGGATTTTAAATTTTATACACAATATGACCACAGTTCCCAAAAAGACAGTGGCTTTAATTTTTAATAAATTGAAAAGTTGGATTAGATAAGCAGGCTTGCTTTATTTTTTCCTTTCTTTTTTCTATTTGTGAGTGGTATGTGTATGTGTGGGAGTACTGGCAGGGTTACAACTTTAGCTTTGTTACTCCCAGGTGGGTTAGTAGTGATTGTTAGTTGACTTCTCCACTGGACTGATACCAAAGTTTCTGCTTTTCTACTTACAGAGTTGTTTATGTTTTAATAAAGCATTAGGATTGTAATGTATAATTTCTAAACATTGCAAACATTTTCAGATACCATTAGATATTGTTTTTTCCCTTTACAAGTGCTATAGGTATTCTTTGGTAAATTTGGTAATGAACACCTTTGTTAAATAGGATAAAAGTAGTTAACAAAATGTAAACTAAATATATTCACCAAAAAGTAAAAAAACCCCAAACCTTTAAATAATAATAACCTCCTACATGCCCCTGCCTGGGGATCAAGCCCACAACCCGGGCATGTGCCCTGCCGGGAATTGAACCACAATCTCCTGGATCCTAGGTCGATGCTCAGCCGTGGAGCCACGCTGGCTAGGCAGCAAGCCTTTATTGAATATCTCTTATAGGCAAGTCACTTGATTAAGCACCAGGGAAATAAAAATGAACATGATCTCTGCTTATAAAGGTATACATGAATAATTTGTTAGATAAATCTGAATGAAAACAATTTTAGCCCAGGGACATAAAGCACTAACAGATGCATACACAGAGTGTCAACTACTAATGTCCAGTTTTCCTCCTATACAATGAGTATAAATAAATCTTGAATTTAGAAGAAGGCGTAACAATCATGAACTCCTTTAGTAGACATTCTGATTCTCTTGAATGCCAGAGGCATTCCTTCACTACATCTTTACTTTTAACCTCTGGGTGGTTAGATCAGTTGATTAGCATAGCAGCCATTGCCTCTTCACCTGTTCACTTATACTTATTAAGCTCTGTTGTGAGGATCCCTGTGATGGGCACTGAGAACTCGCTCACATATGAAGGTAGCAGCACACCAAGAGTCTAATGGAATAATAAGAATAAAAGGTCAAGGGTTGGGCCACCCTAGGAGCCTTTTCCTGCTTTATAGCTGCAGATCAACTGTGCTAGCCAGCCAAGTGCAGCGATGAGCTGGAAAAAAAGCTCAAAGAACATGCTCGACTGACGATCAGCCACTAGCATTGTGTATGTATATAAAGCGTGCATCTCCTCATTAGCCGTTATATTTTGAATTACCATTCTAGTTTTTTGCCTTATTTCTCTAAATTAGTAATATTCTCAATTCTATCAAATATAAAGCCTTGGGTGGGGAGGTGGGTGGGGTAGTGTTAGAAGAGTGGAGCATTTAAAAAAATTTTTTATAAATCACTTAAAACTTTGTGGTATTCTCACTAAATCCCAGAAGAACAATCTCTTAGAATTGAATTTTAAATTTAATTTTGATTTTCAAAACACAAGCTGATAATATTACTTGTGCAATTTCTTAAGTATAACATCAGTATGAGAGAGAAACATCAATCGGTTGCCTCCTGCATGCGCCCAGACCAGGGATCAAACCCACAACCTGGGTCTGTGCCGACCAGGAATTGAACCTGCCGCCACTTGGTGTATGGGAAGATGCTCTAACCAACTGAGCCACACTGGGCAGGGCAAGCATTGCTTTTTAAAAAAGATCAAGTACTATATGTCTGCTGTGGTATTTTTTAATGTAAGGTTGCCAGGAGAGTGTCACTTCTTTTCAGGCATAATTTGGAGCCTGGTTTTGGAATATTTTAGAATCAACACAAATAAAGTATAATCCTGTTATTGTTTCACTGATTAAAATTCACAGGTACAGGGCCTATTATTTTAAAAAGTAAATAAAACATGCGACATGACTTGAAGATTTTATCATCAATTCTGCCCTTTGAAGAATTGACATTAATAGAGTAGTTGCAAAGTCAGAAACTGGATGTCAGGAAAGGTGGAGGTGTATACTGAAGCTGTGCTGTGTTATGTGAAAGTAGGACTGTTTCAGTCAGATAAAGCAAGTGAGTCATCAGGTCAGAGGAGGTAGGACATGTTTGTAACCTTGCCTCCTTAGAAATGCCCTAAAGGGATGAGACTATAAACCTAGTATCCAATAGACTTTTTTAAAAAATATATCTTTATTGATTTCAGAGAGAGGAAAGGAGAGGGGGAGAGAGAGACAGACACATCAATGATGAGTCATTGATCGAGCCCGCAGCCCGGGCATGTGCCCTGACTGGGAATCGAACCCCAATCGCCTGGATCCCAGGTCATCCAAAACCTCTGAGCCACGCCCAGCAGGGCTCCAATAGACTTTTTAATCCTCACCCGAGATATGTTTTTCATTGATTTTAGAGAGAGGAAGGGAAAGAGAGAGGGAGGGAGAGAGAGAGAGAGAAAGAGAAACATCGATTGGTTGCTTCCCATAAGTACCCGATGGGAACCTGAAACCTGGGTCTGTGCCCTGACCCAGAATTGAACCTGCCACTTTTCGGAGCCAAGGCTCTCTTTTTTTTTTTTTTTTTTTATTGTTGATGGTATTACAGGTGTCTCCCGTTTTCTCCCTTTTGCCCCCTCCACCAAGCCTCACCCCCACCCTAGGCCTTCTCCATACTGTGGTCTGTGTGCATGGGCTATGCATATATGCACGTATGTTCTTTGGTTCATCTCCTCCTGCCCCCCCCATCTGTTATTCTGTCCCAAGCATCCACATGGACCTGTTTAGTTGGTCAGTTTATTTTGTTCATTAACCCCTCTGTTTTTGATGCATATGTTCCTTGAAAATTTCAAGCAAGTTTCTGTCCTGGGTTCTGTACTTGATAAATCTTGGAAAGCTCTCTTTCTAGATAGCACCATGGCTCTCTCCTGTTACCATTTTGGATCTCTGCTAAATGTCAATTAGGATTATCCTTTTAAAAATAGCTACTCCCCCCCCATATTCTTATCCCCTTTCCTTTTATTTTTTCTGTAACATCTATCACTGTCATATTTTTATTTAAAAAAATGTGGACATGTCTCTTTCCTTCCCTACTCCTTCCAGACCCAGAATATAAGCTCAGTGAGGACAGAAATTTTGTCATGCTTACTGCTGTATCTCCAACATGACTGGATGGATGATGCTGCCTGACCGTCAATAAATACTCTTCATAGAGTTTTATGAAGAGTAAATAAGATACTGCATAGATGCAAGTTAATTAGCATGATATCTGGCATATATTAAGGATTCAATAAATATTTTCTATTGTTTCAAATTCATTATTTTCTAGCATTTTCTAGTATTAAGATACATATGATGTTTTTCAGATTGTTCATGCCTTAAAAATAAGCAACATGTGGAAAATTTACAAGAACCAATTTTACAAATTTTGTACAAATGCTCAAAACTTTATCATCCAGAAGACCTACAGCACTTTGCTTGGCTCATAGGGAGGCTCATCGAACTGAGGACACTCAGTCACAGCCATTCAGAAATCTGTATTCACATTGCTGAAACTTTAAATTGTTGTGGTGTGTCTTAAAATTCCTCAATCTAGGTTGTTTACTGTATCATAATAGGATGACTGATTTGAAAAACAGGAAGAGTATTGCTGTGTGACCAATATATCACAACAAAACAGACCTCATCAGGGCTCATCAGCCTTTGTGGAATGTAGGACCACCACTAGAGGGCATCTAGGATTCTTTCAAGACTCGACTCAAAAGCAGCAAGGGTTACTGTTAGTGCACGTTTCCTTCAAGAGGCACGAATGCTAAGTAGAGTTCTTAACCAAAGAAACTACTTTTTTCATTTAGTATAAAATTGAATGAAAAAATATGTAGATTTCTTGTCGAGATGCAAAAGGCTGTCTAGTGGGAAAAATGTAATAGGAATAAAGGCAGTTTGTGAACCTCATTAATTAATGCACGATTGCTGGATGTGGAACTAATATTTTAAACCTGTTACTGTATTTTATGATTAAAGTGGAAAACAGCTTTGTTCAACCCTTTCCCTTTCTTAATGTCTTTTTAAAGAGATCTTTTATGAACCCAAATTTAAAAATTTGTGATGGCAAGATACTGAAAAGATTAGTGACAAATCACTAAAACATTTTAACATATATTGGGAAATTTAGCAGAATTTAACTGCTCATTCTGGTAGAAAATATTTTTTACTTCCCCCGCCCCAACACCTTTTATAGAAAAAAATGAAGTTCTTAAAATCTTTCCACAAATGTTTTCATTAATGGAGGATGAAAAGAATAGGATGGTTATACATAAAACATAAATTTCATGTGAAAGCGAGGAAGTCTATGATGCCACTATTGTTTTGAAAGACTGGATGCAAACAAATAAAATACTGCGAATGAAGTTAATTTAATACCAGGACTAGTATTTTGGTTTTCAATAAAGAAAAAAAGACCATAGTTGAATTTTTCACTGCTGTAAAGCTTTTAAAAAACTGGAATATTTAATTTACATTCTCAACCTAAAAAGATCTTATTAAATGTATCACTTATTGCTTCTAGAGGGTGCCTTGTGCATATATTCTCGGTATCATTTCTTGGAGTATTTTATCTTTTGGGGGGGCACCTAGACTCCATTTTCTTCAAATGTAAAATGAGTAAAACTTGACCACCCTTTCCAGCTCAAAAATTTTGTTATTTTAGCAGAAAATAGTAGATCCGCTAGATTAAATTCATACAAAACAAAATGGGTAATTTAAAATTATCACCCAAGTCCCTCCGGGAAAGCATCACTTACATACAGGGAGAAAGTTGCAAAAGAGGCGGTGGGTGCCCGAGACGGAGCCCCCCGCTCGCGCCCAGGTGCCCGAGACCGAGCCCCCCGCTCGCGCCCAGGTGCCCGAGACCGGGCCCCCCCTGTTCGCGCCCGAGTGCCCGAGACCGGGCCCCCCGCTCGCGCCCA